GAGCGCAGAATCGGATGTTGACAGTGACGACGACCATGGGCGAAAGCGGAGGAAGCGCTCGACTGGGGAGGATGACGACGACGACGACGAGGGGGATTGGATGCCAGAGGGCGACGAATCGATCCTCGTTCCGGAAGGGGAAGGGGAAGAGGAGCCGGCGGCGGACAGCGTTGCAGGCATTCAACAGCAGGACGAGCTTATCAGAAGCATGCCAGCGTCATCTTTGTCATCGTCTTCTTCCGCTCCCGCAGGGTCGTCAACCATCAACACTCCGATTCGGGCCACTGAGCCGCCGACGTGCTCTTCGACCTCATCAGCTTTTGACCTGTTCCTGCAGATGGTACGCGCCCACTGGCTTGCCCCTCTAGGCCGCTCTTCTTCTTCTTCTTAGCGGCGGGCCTAAACGCTGCCGTGGATGGTGCAGCCCTTGAACTGCACCATAAAGCGCAAGCGGAGTCCCGCGCCTGGAGGGGCACACCAACGCGCCAAGTCGCTCTACGACAAAGCCACTCCAGCGCACAGCCCCTGTTCGTGCGCGAAGCCGACCGTCCCTACGAAGACGTACGGACATGCAACCCCAAACTCATCGCGCAGCCACACCCACACGCGCACTAACAATTCTGCCCAGCGCTGTGACACCGTTGGTGAAGAAGGGCAACGAGCTGATGATGGACCTGGTATTCAGGTGCGCCTAAAACTTGACATCTTCTTACTTCTCCCGTTCTTCATCCTTCTTATTTCTTTTGCCGGTTGCAGCTTCGACACGACCGGGTCCATGTACCACTATGTGGGCGAGGTGAAGACCAAGGTGGAGCAGATTGTGGAGGAGCTCCTGCGAGATGTTCCGAGTACGCTCTGAAAGCCGCCTTTGCTAGCGAGTTGTTGGCTTTGTTCTTATAGTGCTGTTCTCTGTTGGTCGGTCGGTCGGTCGGTCTGTCTGTGATCAGACATACGGATCGGGCTGATCGCGCACGGCGACTACTGCGCCACCGGCGTGTGGATGGGCGGTCACGAGTGCTACGTGACCCGCGAGCTCGATTTCACCAGCGACCGGCACGCGCTGTGCTCGTTCATCCGCAACACTCACGGGTCCTTGGGCGGCGACGACGAAGGTTCGCCCCCCCCCCCCGCCAAGCCGCGGCTGAGGTGTGGCCCGGCGGCACTCATGCAGTAGGCTCCACACGCACCACACAGGCGAGTGCTACGAGCTGGCCCTATGGCAGAGCCGCCAGTTTTCGTGGCGCCCCGGCAGCACCAAGGCGCTGGTGATGATCGGCGACGACCTGCCCCACACACCGGATTTCCCCGGCAACACGCGGCGGCTCGACTGGCGCGCCGAGGTCGACCAACTCAAGGCCGACGGCGTCACCATCTACAGCGTCCACGCCGGCGGCAAGCCAGCGTCGCGCGGCCCTAGAACGAGGTTTTGGCGGGAGATGGCGGAGCGCACCGGCGGCGAGTACCTCACCCTGGCCAGCATCGCGTCGATCCACGAGACCATGGTAGGCATTCTCTACCGCGAGGCCGGCGACCAGCAGCTCGAGCACTGGGCCAAGACCGCCGGCGGCAGCACCACTGCCGCGTCGGGCGAAGCGCACGTGTTCTTGACGTCGACGATGAAGGAGCTGTCGCTGTCAACGGACGACCTGATGCGCATCCACGAGGCCCTGCATGACAAGGGCGTGGGCGAGGTGGAGGCCCTGGGGCGGCGGCATGCGGTAGTGGTCGGGCGTGCCGGGTGCCGCTTCGTGCGGATCGAGGGGGTGACCTTCATCGAGCAGAACAAGAACAAGGCGAGCAAGTACGCCCGCATGGCCACGGAGGGCAAGAAGATCACCTGGGTCGTCAAGCTCGGCGAATGGTACGGACCACAGCCCACCCTCCTCCCCACCTCTTTAGTAGGGACTCACACACCGGGAGGACCCCCGGGGATGTTGCAGGGGCCTGATCATCGATGGCGAAGTCGTAAAGATGTGATGATGGACCCTGTGGTGGCCACCGCTCACGTTGACCGAGCCGCAACACCCCTCCGCCCAATGACGACGCTGCTGCCCACCGGAGTTCAGTGCTGCAACAGCTGTAAATCAAATGAACACAGAAGAAGAAGACAATGTGCTGGCGAGTGTTGGAAGATGGCATCGCTACTTCTGGGCGGGCTGCACATTTCGAGGTGGCAGCTCGAGCGTAGTTTTGGCCGGCTGGAGGAAAAGAAGATTCGATTCTTCCCAAATTTCGCTCGAATGCGTTTAGATTCTTGACACGAACACTTCAACTTTGAACGCGCGCAGAGCCTGGTGGGTACGACCTCTAACATGCCATAAAAGATCTTTCTCTCCTCTTCTTGTTCGTTTTTACCTCTTGCTTCTTCCCACCCACACTTCATCTCCATCTCCATCTCTCTCTACAAAATGGACACGTACGGCGACTACGTCATCTCCAGCGCCGCGCATCAGAGCTCGCCTCCATCCACGTCGCCAAGCGGCCACATTCCCACCTCATTCGGTACCTTCTCGGCCTCGCCTCTCCTCTCCTCCTCGCCCCTGCGGCAATCGACCGGCGCATCCTTCCGCAAGGTGTCCCTCTTCAGCAGCGACAACACCAAGAGAGGCGCGAGCTCCGACTCAGAGGATGCCGCGGGCTCGCCCACGCGGCCAGGCCTGCTCAAGCAGAGCCTGGCCCAGCAGCAGAAGCTGGACGAGGAGCGGGCCATGGGCGGCTATCCACGCACGGGCCGGCGCGGCAGCCTGGACGACAGCGTACGTCGGCACCGTCGCGACGACAGCGACACCTTCTACGCCGCCGGCGAGAAGGATCGGAGGCAGATCGCAGACGTTAAGCTCACCTCGCAGTCCTCGTCAGCCTTCGCCTCGGCCGCGTGCACCTCGTCGCCCGACACGGCGGAGACCCGAACGCGACCGAACGCCGCAGCTCCCGTCGTCGCCACCGCCGCCGCCAGGAAGAACTACCAGACCTTCAGCCAGACCACTCGAGCACCGCCTGCTTCGTCTTCGTCTTCGTCTTCCTCCATTTCTTCGCCAACGTACGACACGCACGCCCAGGTAAAGAGGGCACTGAAGCCCATTGGCGTCTCCCTCCTGCGCGATCCCGTGCGAACGTCGACGCCTCCGGCAGCTGTGCCAACGTTGTCGAAGTCGTCGTCATCGTCGACGTCGACGGTTTCATTTGAGGCGTGTCACGCGGACGTGAGGGAGAAGGACAGGAAGAAGAAGAAGAAGGCCAAGAAGAGCTTCGTGGCCTTTGTCAACACCAAGAGCGGCGCGCAGAAGGGCGAAGACGCCCTCGAGCTGCTCACCGAAGAGCTCGGCGAGGATCGCGTGTTCGACCTGGTCGAGCTGGACGACCTCGAGGACTGGTACACCTTACGCTCACTCTCCATCAACGATTCACACACACACACACACGCCACACGCGCGCGCGCACACACACACGCACACAGGCACACACCACAAACAACAGGGCACCTTACACATGCACACACACAACACACAACGTCGTTGTATCACTCATGGCCACGGCAGTCTCGAACAGTTCAGGGGCGAGGAGAACCTGTGCATCGTAGTGGGCGGAGGGGATGGCACCTACAGCTCGATAATCAATGCGCTCATCAAGATGAAGTTCCAGCCCATGCCCACGGTAGCTCATCTCCCATTCCCCCCAATTCTCAGGTTAAAACGGCTTTCTGTATCACTCTCGCTGACGCACCACGCACCACGACACCAGCTGGCCACCCTTCCCATGGGCACCGGCAACGATCTGGCGCGCGAATTCGGTTGGGGCGGTGGTTTTGAGCCGGACGAGGAAAGCGTCCATCGAAACCTTCGACCTCTATCAGCAGGCCGAGCCCTCTCCACTCGACATGTACGCATTCCACACGGCACACCACGGCACACGACACGCACGACACGCACATGCTCACTTCTCGGCTGGACATCTTCAACAGATGGCGGGTGGAGATTAGGCCTCAGAATGAAGTGACCGGTGAGTTCTCCGAGAGCAGGCGCACGGTGCAGTACATGTTCAACTACTTCAACGTCGGTACGACCGGATCCCCTCCTCTTCGCTACTCATCGGGGCGGCCTCACTCACCTTCCTTCTTTCGAGTAGGCTTCGATGCCCATGTGGCCCTGGGCTTCGACAACACCAGAAAGAAGCACCCGTGGCTCTTCAAGGCCCAGCTCCTCAACAAGCTCTTGTACGTGGTTTAGGATTACTGCAATTTAGGTAATGTAAGTGGTGAGTGCTGACGTTCGTGCGTTTTCTATTGTCGCGGCCAGCTACCTGTGTTCTGTGCCCGGGCCGGCGGTCAATGGAATGACGGACCTCCACAGCTGCGTCATGGCCGAGGTCGACGACGATCCCATCACTCTGCCCAAGGACCTGCGCACTTTCGTGGTTCTCAACTTCACCTGCTACCAGGCCGGCCTAGGTACGCCTACTTATCCCAGTAAGGGCAGAGAGTGCTTGATCGCTAAGCAACGCACGCCACACACACACACACACACACACACACACAACAACAACAACAACAGATATCTGGGGAACGGCACAGGAAGCAGACAATTCTGCCGGGTATCCCATCTTGTGGAGTACGCCTTCCATGAGCGACCGCACGGTCGAAGTGGTGGGCATCGGCGGACTCGACCACGAAGCGACCGTCCGCACCAACGTGTCCAAAGGTGCGGCGCACGACACGACCAACGACACGACACATGAGTGACTCATAAATTTACATTCGCTCTTGCGCAGGTTATCGGTTGGGACAGGGCAGCACGCTCAAGCTGCGCATATTGGACGACGTGGCCATCAACATCGATGGCGAGCCCGAGTGGCAGAAGGCCCCGTGCGAGGTCTCCATCACCCGGTGGGGCTCCATCTCCATCCTCCGCAGTCCCGAGAGCGACGACAAGGAGGAGGACAAGGAAAAGCGGGACAAGGAGCGACGAGAGAAGAAGAAGAAGCAGACCACCAAGGTGCGGATCGGCAGCAAGCGGATCGCCAAGCGGCGAAGGACGCCGGCAAAGCCCACCTGGGAACAGAGCAGCAAGTTCTCCTTCGGCGGCTTCCTCGTCTACATGCTCACCGGCAGCGTCTAATCGATTGCTGCCTCCACACTATCACACTCATCACTCACTCGCACCTGCACACAACCGCACTTTGTACAAATCACATTGGTCCTATCATTCGCTTTCTTTGCGTTTCGTTTTCGCTTCGTCTTCGTTCTTTTTTTGTCGAACTGGGAATGGTGTGGTGAAGAAAAGGAAAAGGAAGAAGCTGCTCCGCCAATGCCGAAGAGCCTTTTGTTGTGAGTGCGCGGCCACACGAAACAAATTGCAACAAATCTGGTCAAAAAGATTTGGCCAACGCGTGACTGAGCATGGATGAGAGGGAGACGGAGGCGCTGATGGGGACGGTGGCCATCGGGAGCATGATCTCGATCGTGAGCGTGCTGTTCCTCGTCACCTCGGCCTTCCTGCTGGGCAAGTGGCGCAAGAGCTACTGGCGCGTCATCCTCTGCCTCGCCTTCTCCGACCTCACCGTCTCCTGCTCCTTCGTACCCACTCCTCCCTTATCAACCCCAAACCAACAAAAATAAGAAACTAAATTATTTTATAATTTATATTAATTTAATAGTTATTTTAAAAATGATATTAATAAATTGTAAATGACAAGGTCGCTGGGGCTCTGCCCGTGTTCCTGTGGCTGGAGCCGCTGTCGGAGGTGCCGTGCAACATCCAAGGTACCCTGGACCCTACACATCGGCTCACGATGGGTGAGCCGCACACCGACCAACACGAACCGCATTCGCATTGCGCGGTGCTTGTAGGGGCGCTGGTGCAGTTTGGCGGCAGCGGCACTGTGTACTACGCGCTCGTGATCGCCTTTGTGCTCTACATGCAGGTGGTGCGAGGAACCAAGGTACGCGCCGCACACGGCATGAACGCGTTCCCCCCACGGCCGTGTGTTGCGTGGTGCTGACGTTGTTAACGTTTTTTTTTAATTAATGAAAAAGATCACACGAAGAATGGAGGTCGCGATTCACCTGATCTGGCTACCTCCCACGTTCCTCCTCGCCCTGCTTCCGCTCGACAACCCGGGAGGCATCCACTACGACAACTCTGGTATATTTTCGCTCATGCCACACGACACGACACCAGCGCCTCCGACTCATACATGTGGCAGTGGGTTGGTGCTGGATCGCTGAGAATCCCAAGTACGCCCGGTTTATATGGTACTACATGTGGGTCTGGTTTGTCATCGCCGCAATCATTGGCCTCTACTACGCCATTTTCTCGCACATGCGACGAGGTACGGCACTCACACGCCGCACACGCCGCACACTGCACTGATACGCCAGCAAATGAATGGTGTTGATTCTGGTGCGGGAGCTAGGCGCCCAGCAGGTCAAGTTTGCGCGCTTGACGGAGATCGCGTCAGGGTCGGTGTACTCCCAGCAAGCGAAGAGTTCGCAACGCCTCCTGCTCTACCCGTTGGCCTTCATCATCTTCTGGATCCCCGCCACTACCAACCGGTACTCCTCGCCCTCCGTGTGCGTGTGCGTGTGCGTGTGCGGTGATGGCGTGTGTGTACCTCACCCTCACCCTCACCTCCCCAAGAATATTGGAGGCGACCGGGCACTCGGTGTTCGCGGTGACCTACTTGGAGTGCTTCTTCGTGCCACTCCAGGGGATCACCAACACCCTGATCTACCTCTTCACCTCCCAGGCGCACAAGGTACACACGTGTGATCTCAATTGATCTCCCTCATCATTGGCAATGCGTGCACCATGGCCCACACCACCTCCCTTCTTTCCCTGCGCAGGATATCTATCGTGGCATGCGAAGACAGCCCCGCCATGGAGACTTGGCCACGGAAGGGAGTGCGTGCTTCTTCCCTCCCCCCCCCGCGATGCTGTCGCTTGTGACTGTGGTGACTCACTGCGCGATACAACGCGCACACGCCCGACCACACGCGCACACGTGTATGCAGTGGCTCTGGCATATTCAGGAGACAGCCCGGGCTTGGGCCGTGGCGTCAGAGCTTCCCCACCAACGTGGGGCGAGGAAAAACAGCCATTGATGTCCTCACCACACTCCATCAACAACCCCACATTGAACTAGCTAAGCTTCAGTTGCATTGTGCTTCACAAATTCGGTGGGCTTGGGGGCTTGTGTGTGGAGGGAGCTTCAGAGAAAAGCCTTCAGCGCACGAGCTGCGTGAGTGTAAAACTGCAAATAAAGTAAAAAAGTAGAATTATAATCACAAAACACATCAACGCATCGATAATGGCAGAGCAGCAGGAACAGAAGGCCCCGGTTTGGTTGCCCCTGGAGAGCAATCCTGACGTGCTCACCAAGGTACGCCGCGAGCACTCACATCTCGAGGAATTGGCTGGCTTACTTGTGCCCCCCCCCCTAATCTTGCAGCTGGCGCACGGTTTGGGTGCCTCGCCCGAGTGGTCCTTCACGGACATCTGGGGCCTCGACGATGAGGTGCTGGATGCACAGACCCCCATGTTCACCGCGCCAGGTAGCGTGCTCGTGCCCTACTTGCCCACTTGCGCTACACGCCGTTCACTGCCCTCTTCTCTTCACCAACCCGGCCCAATTTCATCTTTTTGATTACTTTTGGGGTGCGTGTGTAGTGATCGCGCTGCTGTTCCTGTTCCCGTCCAAGGAGGACGCCGAGGCCAGGAAGCTCCCCGCTGACGAGAGCGCAGCCATCCCCGTCTACTTCCTGCGGTACCGTTAAACATTATTATTATTATATTATATTTATATTCTAGAAATAACCATCATACTTATACAATATATATTTTATCGTACATTTATTTTACTTGCGTGTTAGCTAACAATCGGTGTTGTTGCTCTGCCCCCATCTCGTAGGCAAGTGCGCTCTCTGGGCAACGCCTGTGGCACCATCGGCGTGATTCACTCCCTGGCCAACCTCGCCAAGTCCGGTTTCCCCATCCTGGGTACCCAGCTCGCTCTCCAGCCCGCCCGCCCATTGTAAACAGCCGAACTCCAGGAGCTGACCATCGAGCTCTGCGTGTGCGGTTGTGTGTTGTGTGTGTGGTTTCTTAGGCTCGGGTGCCCTGCAGAACTTCATTGACAAGACCAAGGACAAGACGCCCGAGGAGAGAGGCGACCTTCTGGCCTTTGACGAGGAGATCAGGAAGATCCACGACGGGTTCGCGCAGCAGGGCCAGACCGAGGCGCCCGGCGAGGGCGACCGCGTCGACTTCCACTTCATCAGCTTCCTCAACGTCGACAACCACGTGTGGAGCCTGGACGGCATGCGCGCTCAGCCCACCGACAGGGGCGCCACCAGCCAGGAGACCTTCCTCAAGGTTCGGCCTTCACACTTTCTGTGTTCACTCTTCAGTGGGCCACGTGGAGTCTCTGACGCTGACCTACACGGCGGCGAATAACAGGACTGCGCGAAGATCATCAAGTCAGAGTGGCTGGAGAAGAACAAGGAGGAGAAGCTCTTCTCCGTGATCGCACTTACCCAGCTGTCCGAGGACGACTAGACTGGAAGCAGCTGGTTACCAGGCCTTGCCCGCGTTCACCCGCTCAGACAAAAAAGGTATTTTAAGGCTGAAAAAGGGAGGTCAGTTTAATCCAACCAATAGGCGTACGCTGTTGTCCTGGCCCTGGCGCAGACCCGGGTCATCGCTGGGTTCTCTGCTTTTCTGGGCGTGTTCGGTCCCTTTCTCGTTCTTCCTTGTGGGTCGCCAGCCCACGGAACCACTTCCATCTTGGTCCGACGGCAAGGAAGTAGGAACCGACAGAAAACCCACATGAACTGGCTTCCGGTCGGAAGTATAAATGGGGCAACCTCACGCTGGCCTCGACCATCAGTTCCATCTCTTTCACTACACGATACGAATCCATCCTCTCCATACACACAGCTTCACACTTCACATCATCAACATCAACGCGACATGAAAGCTCGATTCCTTAGTGCAGGGCTGCTCGTGGTGGCCCTCATCGCCTGGTTCGCCGCGCCCACCCACGGCCAGATCTTCGAGAGCATCTGCAGGTACCAACCCCCGCACAACACTCACACTCAACCGCACACGCACACGCACACGCCGCACACGCACACAAGGACTGAGTTTTTTTCCCCCGCTTGGCAGGGATGCCAACTGCACGGACATTGCGCTGGGACCGCTGGCCCTGATTCCGCAATGCTATCGGACGCCGCAGGGCTCGGTGCGCCTCAACATCAACGAGTCCGATCCCGACGTCCTCGACCTCTGCTTCTACCTGTCCGAGGACTGTAATGAAACGAGTGTCGACACTTGTCACATGTTCGTCAACGGCGAGCCCTGCGACTGTCCATTCTTCAGGGGACTCAGCGACTCGCTCTCCGTGGTGTTCGAGTGGGACCCCGCCACGATCGAGTTGCTGATCGACATCATCGACATGTTCCCCCACTTCCGTACGCCAGCCTTCAACTTTAATTCCCTTCCCCGTCTTGCTAAGACCGCACACGCACACGCACACGCACACCCAACACGCACACCCAACACGCACACCGCACACCCAACACGCACACCGCACACCCCACAGATCGCTCACGCAGGCAGCTCTTCAACAACTTCTTTGGACTCACTGAGTTTGGCAACTGGTGCGGTCCTGGCCACGGCGGCACCAACGACTGCTGTGACGACGAGGTCTGCTCGGCCTGCAACGACACCATCGGTACGGACAACCTACTTAAACTACACTCTTCGCCCCATTGTGTGTGTTTATATAGAAATCGTGAACTCACACATGTGTTGTGTGTAGGCTTGACCATGGATTGCCTGGACCAATGCCCGGCGGAAGACGACCTCGATTTCGCGTGTGCCGTCCACGATTTCTGCTACGGCGCCAACGACTACGAGGAGCTGTTCCCTGATGAGGACTTTGAGTGCTCATCACGTACGCACCACATGATGACCACATGACGCGCGCAGCACGCAACGCTCACCCTGGAATGAGAGTCACTCGAGTACTGACCTGATCTCTTCGGCACACACAGTCTTTGGGATCCAAAAGTCGGGGTACTGCGAGTGCGATTGTCAGCTTGTGGAGACTGCTCGTGACATCGACTCCAACGACTTCTACAGGAGCGCTCTGATCTTCACCTTCACCCACATCACCAACTGCTGGTACAATTCGACCAGCGGTCCCGTATGCAACACCAAGGGAGACGATCGAATCCTCGTTACCGAGTTCTGCTGATGGCCATCGCACAACCATAATATATTGAAGATATCTTGAACCAACTTGGTGCTTTTCGTTTGCTGCTTTTTTACATTTTTTTAATTTATTTTTATTTTGTTTTTGTAGCTTTGGAGATGAGGCTGCCACCGTTCACGAATATTGTGTACGTTGGGCTGGCGGGCAGCGTGGTGGGCGGCTTCGTCGGGATGTACTTTGCCGAGCAGTTTATGCGGGAGGCGAGAGTACGTTCAATTAATTCGATTCAATTCATTTTCAGTTGCATCTAAAAGGATTCATCTTTATCACAGGAACGAGAAGACGCAAAGCTTTGGGCCGAGATCGAGCAGGACCGCAAGCGAGCAGCTGCGCAGCGCGCTGCAGCGACAAACCCAACCCGCAGTCTACCCTCAGAACAACAATAGCAGCTAAGGCTGCCTTCACAAAACCTGCACGGCACCACCATTGCTCTTGTCGTCTTGCGTGTGTCATGTTGCGTGTGTCGTGCTGTGTGGAGGCGATGATCGTTGTGGCGTCGGCGGCTTTCGACTGCTTCGGCGAGTTTGTCTCGGGGCTGAAGACCAGGTTCACTTCACTTGTGTCAACGCACAAGGAAGGAGGATAGGAACACATTGCAACAACAGGCAACCGACAGGGAACCAACAGAAAAGATGGCCGAACTGCCTCTTCAGCCAAACGTGTTAGTGATCCACACAAATGGCGCCACTCACTCACGGGTCCTCTGATCACAACGCAACGTAACGCGACACCAACACACCACTACACCACACCCTACCACCATAATTCATGGCTTCTTCTTCCTCGTGTCTGCTGGCGATGATGCTGGTGGCGCTGGCATACTGCGGCGCACTGGTGCCGCTGGCCCACGCCCAGATCTACGAGACCGTCTGCCGCGATGCCAACTGCACGGACGTGGCGCTGGGGCCGCTGGCCCTCATCCCGCAGTGCTACCGCACGCAGCAGGGCTCGATCCGGCTCAGCATCAACGAATCGGACCGCAACCGGCTCGATCTCTGCTTCTACGCCGCCGATGACTGTCCGCCGTTGGACGGCACTGCAGCAGCAACGAACGGCGGTGGTGGCAACGTGAGTGCGGCGGCGGCGGCGGCGAGCTCGTGCCATTCGTTCGTGAACGGCCAGACGTGCGATTGTCCGTTTCTGCGCGGGATGAACAGCTCGCTGTACGTCAGGTTCTCGTGGGACGCCGACAACATCAAACTGCTGCAGGACCTCATCGAAATCATGCCCAGCTACCGTATGATGATCGCACACGCACCACCGCACACGCACCACCGCACACGCACACAAGTACTCAAGTACTCACTCCGCCATTAACAGAGCGATCGAAGCGACAGATCCTCAATAACTTCTTTGGGCTGGCTGAGTTCGGTAACTGGTGCGGCTCAGGCCACGGCGGCACTCGCGATTGCTGCAACGGCCAAAAGTGCTCTCAGTGCAATTACAACCAAGGTGATGCACTCTGTGTATCGTGCGTGCCGTGTCGTGTCGTGCGTGCGTGCCGTGTGCAATGACTGACGCCCGTGGTGGACCCCGGGAGCAGGTCTAACAACCTCCTGTCTGCGCCAATGCCCTGCGAGGGACCAGCTCGATATGGCCTGCGCCGTGCACGACTTCTGCACCACCAATTACGACTACGAGCGCATCCTGCCCGCTGGATCTGACTTCAGCTGCTCCGCCCGTACGTACACACACGTACACCGCGGAGCCAACATGGTGTTAAACAAACCTTGTTTCCTCGCGTTCGCAGTCTTCGGCACTCTGCAAGGCGACTACTGTGCGTGCGATTGCCAGCTGGTGCGCAGCGCACGCCGTGTTACGTCGACCAACAGCTTCTACAGGAGCTCGCTCATCTTCCTCTTCACTCACGTCACCAGCTGCTGGTGCGCACTTGCCTCTAGAGTTCACCACCGATTTCGACTGTACACTGACATCAACACACTGTCACAGGTACCAGTCCAACAATGGCCCGGTCTGCAACAGAGGGGACGACCGTATACTGGTCACCGAGTTTTGTAACTGACCAGCGATTGGGCCAAGCCTTGGCCGTTGCAATGCAGCGAAAACTGGAGTATGAATTATTTGGGTTATGAATGGAATGCGGATGAAAAAATAAATGATAAAAGAAAACAACACCGCACAAAAAGGGATTGTAGGTTGGACGTCCTTGAAGGCTGGGTGTAGGTCATGTGGGGAGGTAGTATGCAGCCACAGTCTGGCCCGCCGGCGTGGAACGGCCCCCCTCCCGGACCCTACTCGACTCCATCTGCTGCACCCCTCCCGCATCAGCCGATGTCCTCCAAATTACACAAATTGGCCGAGATGCACCAGCAGTTTGCACGTCGCGAGATGGGACCCCTTCCATCTTCCTCCTCTGCGGCTCCACCGCCGCCGGTCCCGCTTCATGGGTACTACCAACCGCCGCCTCAATCCCGCCACTACCAACCACCACCGGCGGCGGCTTGGCCGCAGCAGTTGCACCACCATCGACAAGCACCACTACCGCCACCACCGCAACACCATCTTCATCACGCAGCGCCACCTCCGCCACCAACACCCTGTACAGCCGCTCAACATGCTGGTGTTCGCTGCCGCAGCCCACCAACATCAACACCAACATCAGCACCAACATCAACCACCGCCGCCAACGCACTCGACGAGCCACTACATCCACGTGGCCGCGGCGTCGACGTCCCTGCAGGAGCGAGCCCTACACAAGATCGCCGCGCTCAACGACCTGGCCCATCGACACCACCAGCCTCAGGCGCCTCATCAGTCACACCACCAACCTCAGCCGCAGGGCCGCCTAGCCACGCAGCCCGTGTCTCCCACGGCGATCCGGCTCCACCGCCAGCTGTGCCAGCAGCTCGAGCAGAAGCAGAAGCAGAAGCAGCAGCAGACCCAACAGACCCAGCAGCAGACCCAGCAGCTTGAACAGCAGAAGCAGAAGCAGCAGCAGCAGCAGCAGACCCACCAGGCTGCGAAGAAAGTACCGTCGCCACGGCGCCAGCCCTCGCCGACGACCCAGACGCCGTACGGCGCGTTCCGCAAGCAGAAGAAGCAGCAGCACCATCAGCAACAACAGCCTCCTCCTCTTCCGCCGCTGCCGCCGCACTCGCCGCCGCCGATTGCTGCGCGGCCGCCGCTCCCTCCCTCCTGCTCGCCGACTCGGTCGTCTCGCACTCGGTCGCCGTCGCCTGTAGCGCCCTCGGGGCAGGGTCCAACTGTTCCGCCGCGGAGAGCCCCGCATCCATGTACGCTCGCAGCTGCCATCGTCTGTCATCTGTGGCTCTGCCTCACTGACGAGCGTGTGTCGCGTGGGTCGCGTTGCGTGTGTCCGCGCGTGTCGTGTCTCTCGGTTGGGTGGTGTTTAGTCGCGGTATTCTACTGTACGCTGTGTAAGTTGAGTTGCAACAACATCAAGCCCTTCGTGAGCCACCTGGAGGGGACCCGGCACAGGCTCGCGCGATCCTACGCCACCGAGGCAGAGGTCTTAAATCCCCACGACACGCACGACACGACACGACACGACACGACACGACCAACGACACGACACACACCTCGACTACTACCTCCTTCCGCTGGGCTAACGCTGCTTCGGTCGGCAGAGGGAGAACGACACGCGGGTGCTGGAAGCGGCAAGGACCCAGCTGGAGGCAAATACGAAGCAGCCGAGGACGAGGACGAAGGTGAGAGGAGGAGCCAGTCGGCCAACGACGACCGATTCGGCGGCCACCGGCGAGAGGGATCAACCGAACGCGCGCCAGCAGCGGCTCCTCGGCAAGCGGGTCAAGACCGAGCCGACCGACAGTGACAACGACGCGCAGCACGACCGAGAGCACGAGCACGAGATCAAGCACGAACGCCTCGAAGACCTCAAGAAAGAGGAGAAAGATGAGGAGGAGGAGGAGGAGGAGGAAAAAGAGGAGGACGAAGAGGGTGTCGATGAAGAAGAGACGGAGGACGAAGAAACAGAGGATGAATGCGATCAGGGAGTTGATGACTCGTCGAGCAACGATGAAGCTGAGGAGGAGGAGGAGGAGGAGGGGGCCGAGCGAAAGACGAAGCGAAGACGAACGGAGAACAGCACAAGTGGAGATGGGGCGAAGGGTGGTGGTGATCGCGGCGCCGTTCCCGACGGGTTGGTGCTACGGGAGGTGAAGCTCGAGAAGGCGAGCGAGAGCGACGCGGAGGAGCCGCGAATGGACCACTACTACGCCGAAGCCGTCGGGAACAAAGGCGAAGACAAGAGAGCTACCCAGGGCACGGAAACGGAAAGGGGACTCGACAAGGAGGCGAGCGTGAAGATGGACCACGACCAGCCAGCGACTACCACAACCACGACCAACACGACAGGCTCCCACGATCAGCCGCAACAAGCGGTATGAACCAACCAACGTGATATGTGTCCTTTCGAATGTTTAGTGTGGCACGTCAGTCGTCATCTCACACACTGTCGTGTGGCGCGACACAGGAGGCGTTGTTCGACCGTGCTCTGCCGGTCGATGCGTTCCTCGAGCTGATGGGCCTGCAGTGATTCGACCCGACAGTGACCTTCATTCCCTCCCGCCCGTGAACCAGACCAGCAAATAAAACGCGCTTCCAGAAAATTAGAGGAAACGCATTTCTTGACCAACGACGATAATTCAAATTTGGTGAATTTGTTTACCGCGAGGGACGGTCAGGGACGTTCCGCGCTTTTTGAAGGCACGTTCTTCTTCTGTCGCTCTGCTTCTGCTCGCCCACCACCTCTCTCCTCGGCATCTTCGGGCAGCCCGCTTCGCCTCCTTCTTCGAATCTTCCGTACTCTTCCCGGTATAAAGTGCCCTCACCCCACTGTCGCCGTGGTAGCGCGAACGTCATCCATCTCTCTGCGATTTTCCGAGAATTAGTGCATCTCCTCTGTAGCGCGCCAGTTCGCTATCTGCCGACTGCCAACCTCTCCCCACCATCTCTCCACATCATACACGCTACACAATGAACATCTGCTCCATTCTGGAACGAAGGCAGCTCGAGGCGGCCGTGCCCGGCTGCCAGATCGAATGGATTGTGGACGATGATGGAGACAGCTTCGCAGATGGAGATGACGCGGGGGAGCTTGTAAATGTTGTAGAGTTGATTGAGGGCGATGACGAGGACGGAGAGACGACGGATGGAGGTGCATCGATGATGTGGCCATTCCCTTCGTCGCAGCAGCTGAAGAGGAAGCGAGAGAAGGTGGGCAGCGGAAGCGGAAGCAGCAGCAGCGATGGTGAAGAGCAGCACCAAAAGCAGCAGCTGAACGATGCCAAGCGAGCACGACTGGAGGACGTCGAGAAGCCGCAGCTCTTCAACATGTGGCTCAAGATGAAGAAGGAACGGCGGCACGATCGAAAGCTGCAGGATCTGGTCGATGCGTTCGTCCTGCCCGAAGATCTCTACCAGCACTTCAAGGAGTTCGTGCCTCCGGCCGGTGCCGACGCCGACGCCGTCTTCATGCGACGGCTCCAGTACGAACGCGAATGCGCTGAGCGAGCCCTCAACCGATGCAAGGTGCGCTCGTGGCTGCTGCGTCGATCGTCGCTCAATCGAAGGTCCATCGTGCTACGCGTGCCGTTCGAGCTCGGCCTGGGCGATCGGCTCCAGTTTGGCGCCGCGGCCGCCAACGATGCGCAACGTCCCACCTTCTA